GGTTTCTTTTTTTTTTTGGCTGTTTGACAATTCAGAAAGTGCACAGGGTGAACAGGGAGTGCTCCGGGCTGGGGTTGTATTTGCTGGAAGTTGAATACTTTTTCGGTGCTGAAAAGGTGCCATAGGTACTCGTGCACAAGTTCATTAATACGTGAAAACTTGAAGCGGCTTTGCTTGCGCACATGTTAAAATTATGATTGAAAAGTAAACTTAAACTCGGCTTTCTAATTTGATCAAATTCTGCATTTGTAGCTCTCAATTATGCAACGATCACCACTATTCGATGGAGAGAGTCTAGTTCGATAAACTTTCATTTATTGCTGGCCATTCCCTAGAAACTATGTGTACAAATTCTTTGTGCTGAGTATTGTCAGGGTATTATCAACTTCTATCCACCAAAGCTCTTGTATGCTTTCTCTTTTTATAAGTTTCAACTTTTCGGTGAACACATGTCAGGGCATTTAGGATTTATATATATGTATATTTTTTCTCCATTTTGCAGCTGGACCGTGTCCATAGGCAAAATTGTTGAGCTGCCTGCTGCCATCCATGCGGCATTTTGCATGCATTTTTGATGGGCCTGGACGTTGGGGGTTCGGCTGGCTGGAGCCGTGTGCAGGCAATGCTTTTTTAACGCGCTTTCATGGTTAGCTGCATTCAAGTGGGGCTCTCGCTGCGCTCTCCTTTATTTACCCATTTTTTTTTTTCTCCGTAGTTTTTTAGCATTTTAATTGTCAGGCAGTCGGTGGGCGGCGGTGGGTGCACCCGGGGAATTGGTGCCAATTGAAAGGGATTTCGCTGTGTCCTCAAATGGGAATTTAAGAATTTTCAAGGAATTAGCTAACCAAACTGGCGGTCTGAGTGGAGAGAATAATACGCAGCGCCAATAGAGATTTATCATGGGGAAAACCAACAAGAATTGAAACTGAAATCGGCTTAAAGCTGTTAGGGTTCAGACGGTATTCAAATTTGATTCAAATGTGGGTCAAAAGTTAGGATTCAAAATGGGTTAAGGGGCTTGCCTAAAAGGGGAATACAAAGAGCAAGGTTTAAATTTCATACACAAATCATGGAGGAACTTTCGTGAACAAGCAACATCGTACACATCATATTTGCAATTCCCCCAAAGCTGCACCCAGGCCAATTAGCCACCCAGCAGACTTGGCCATATATGAATCACAGTCCAATCACAACTTTCCAGCAACAAATCCGGAAAATGCAACATTCCAACGCACATTCAGGCACGGGGCTAAGCAGGCACGGCACACCGTAGAAAAGTCTTTAAAACAAACAATGGAAAATGGTAAATGGAAAAACTAAAAATGAACAAAACTAAAAATGAAAACGAACACGAACACGAAAGAGGCAGACAAACAGCGACCTTACCATTTTTACCTTGGCCGCTTGGCACGGTGTGGCACAGTAGCAGGCAGCGAGCACAATGTGAGGCGTACAACACTGCGTATGAATGATGCGGGCACTTTTAAATTATGCAAGAGTATTTTCCGCTCAGTGGCAGCTGGGCACACACACACACGGGGACTCATGTGAGCAAGCAAATTTTCCACACAATAAAATTGTTCACACTTTTTATGCACATGCGGCGGAATGGAGCAGAGGAAAACGATGATGATGAGGAGCGGAAACAAAGAACTTCTCGTCACTGCCTTTGTCTGTGTCTGTGCCTGGGCCTGTGCCATATAAAATAAATTAGAAAACTGGCAAATTCTAAATTCAAACCATTCATTAAAGCCCGGCTAGAGCCCGGTCCTTGATAAATTATGAAAATGCAGCTAACGAGCCGTGTGGAACCTTGACATTTGCCCGAGTCCAAATCCAACACTCTCGGCGGCTCTCTGTTGGCTGTCTGTCAGCCAAAGCACACAGCTACATTCACATCCACATCAGCAGCAGCAGCAGTGGCTTAGTTCTCCCTGGAGTGCATATTAAAAATGTGTAAAATTAGATGTGCTGAGTGTCACTCAGTTGGCGAGCTGAAAGAAGGATAGGGCCAGAGCGGATGACTTTAAGTTGTCTTTAAGTTTGCATTCAGAATTTACCCCGCGATGGAGCTGCAAGTATGCGACGATAAATGACAAAGCTAATGCGCTTTCAACGTTCTGGCAAACGCACCACGGAAATGTCTTGGAGGCAGCATTAGAAGAGGAGCTCTGTTGCTGGCTCTGCCACAGCCATTGCGATGCCACTCAAGGCATTTGCCTGCTGACTGCTGCCTGCTGCCAGCGGCATCTCGTGCCATAAATGTCTGCACATTGTTGCAGGTGCGGAGGCGAGATGGGGGTGCGGGCGGGACATGGCTTGGCATACCCCCAGGCGCGTTGCAGCTTGAGCTTGACATTTGCCTGACAATCAGGCGACACATTTTCCCACTCTGCCACACTCTGTCTCACTCTCGCTCCTCCGCCACACTGGATTTTTCTGCTGCTTTGATTTTGAATAGCTCACTTACTAGACTTAATAAACGTTGCACAGCTCTGCGACGGTTTTGCCCACTCTGTTTGCCGTGTCCTGTCCTGTCCCGTCCCGCCTGTCAGAAGTGTGTCTCCTCCTCTTGGACTGTTTTTAATGCTGTGTAAATTCAAGTTTGCATTTCCAGGCTTCTTTGCAGCTCATCCTCTTAGATAAGATCATTACACATGGCACACAATAATTCACTGAAAGCGGAGACGGGGCCATCAAAAGTAAGTGCAAAGCCTGTGGAATTAAAATGGCAGCGAGCGGAGTACGAGCATTCGGGACCTTTTGATTACCTTTTTTTCTGCTTTTGAATTTTTAAATTTATTTATTTTCTAGAAATTCTACAGCCAAGCCAAGTCTGCAATTAACAACTGAGTTTTTTATCGTTTAATCCTCCCCAAATGTCGCATGTACAGGTGTGGTTTCTAGGGAAAACTCGAGCTTTGCATTAGCCGTGTATCATATGTATAGCCCCAAGGCATTCCTCAGATCTGTCAGCAGCGCACAAATCCACCCTGAGGCAACAATCAGTCCCCCAGGACTGCCAGCATGAAGTTGGCAGCTAAATTTATTTATTGAGTCACTTACTTGGCAAAGAATCTCACACATCACCCACTCTCTCACACACACACCCGAAGGATGTGTGCGCTTGAAATTTATGTGTATTTTACCTGCTGACTTTAACGTGGCACTCTTCATCACTCTCCCCCTGGCAATTGAATTAAATTTCAATTAATGCAATATGCTTGTGGCTTTAGGCAGATTTAATATAGTATTTTATTTTTATTTTGTTTACTGTCTTTCAGTGTTTGCTTTACCCTTGAAGGCGCCGTCAGAGTTCTTTATTTGCAATTCTTTTTATTTTTTGTTTGCTATTGCAATCGAAGGGGACTGTGGGTATTGTCTTTATTATTGCTGCTGCTGCTGGGAGTGGGAGGAGGGTGGGGCATATAGCAATTTGGTTGGTCATAAATTTGAGCGAGACGGCGGCACAAATGAAAAGCACAGCGCGTAAGGGAAAATATTTAAATTTTCTCGCGCGTTCTTCTTTTTTTTTGCTGCAGCCCTTTTTTCTTGTTTGGGTCTGAAGGGAGTCCTGTGGAAAAAAAAATCTGCTTAAATGTACTTCCGTCATAAAATAACGGTAATGCAGAGAGCGAGAGAGCAATGCTCCTCTGTGTGTTTGTGTCTGTGTGTGTTGGTGTGTGCCTCACGTAGCAAGAAAAACCTTTTTATAAATGTTGGTTCGCAGCTTCCGCAAAATAATAAAACAAAGCGCGCCAACACACCGAGAGAGAGAGAGAGAGAGAGGGGAGACTGGCAGCTGCCAGGACATCGCCAGGACCTGTGCAAAAGGCAACCCGGCAAGAATGCTTTTAAATTTTGACACACACGCACACACGCACCACTTGGTGGGCAAGAGCCACAACAAAAAAAAAACACCAAAAAATTAATAAATATGTGCAACGGGGAGACGGCCAGCAGCCCGTGCCTTCGAGGCACACAGAAAGACGCCACCGACCCATGAAGCCACTGCCCCGCTCCCTCTGCTTCCTCTGCTTCCCTCTGCACACTTTGTTTATTTTAATTTTTGTGTAGTCCTTTTTTTATGTTTTGCTTGTAGATGATTTTGATGGCCCCAAAAACTCTGTGCGGCGACATTTGTTTGAAGTTTATTTTGCATATGTTTTATTTCGCTTTTTATTTTTATTGAGTTGCTGCAGCGGCACTGCAGACAGTGGGGGCTGGCTGATTAGGCAAAAATTCTACTCAACTGGAAATGTTAAACAAATATACTTGCTTCCGAGAGTTGCAAAGGCATTTCGGTTGAACCGCACACAAATATTGGAGTCGATTTGGGACATTCAAAGAGATGAATGAAATGATCGAATGACATTTGATATTGGGTAAAAAAAAAGGAAACTCTTGCAATGGAATACTGAGATGGGAATGGAGGGTAACAAAATTGTTTTAAAAGTATATTTATGGGTTCCCTGACTTAAGCCAGAGATAAAATGATCTAAAAGGGTGGAGGCATGCAGCTCGGGCATACCCTTAGAGCTAGCCCATAATATTGAAGTCTCTCCTCCCACTTGAACTACATATTATAAAAGCCAATTAAGGCCATCAATCTGCCTGCCAACTTCAATGCATACAACTTTTATAGCCACACATCCCTTGCTCCTAATCAGCCATCAGCACATTCAACTGATTCATTGATTTGTGCTCTACAAAACGCATTCATATCAACCAAAAAAAAAACCAATTAAAATTAGCCACTAACAAAATTATCAGCAACGCACTCGCTCAACCACAAACAAAAGATACTTAACAAATAACAAATTTAATTCGATTGCTGCGAAAATTTACGCACTTGTGAAAATTATTATTATGAGAATGCCCATTAAAAAGTTGTAATAATTGAAATGAAAACAAATGGAAGGTTTAGTGCAATAGCAGTTTAATTGATGAATGAGTATTATATATACATATGTACATATATATGTGTGTTCAACTCTTACCTTAGATTAGCTTTAGTTTGGCTTTAGTGTGGCTTTAGTTTGGCTTTCGTGGAAGCTTGAGTGTAATCTCCTTGAAGTTGTCGCGTGCTGCTCGTTTCAGTGAATCTCTTGGGAGGTCTCAGTACACCTTACTGCCTGCCTATGTCTCTGTCTCTGCCCCTGGTACTTGGTTTTGTATGTGTATCTTTTTTTCCGTTATTTTCCTTGTCGATCCACCCACAAACACACGTCAATTAACCTACTTTCGAGTTAGCAGGGGGCCACTGGGCTAAAACAAAACATAATAATGGCAGCCACAGAACCAGAGCCAGAGCCACCTTCTAACGAATGCTCCAAGTTAATTTTCCTCGAATTTGTTTCGTTTTTTTTGTGTTGTTGGTTTTTTTTTTTTTGCTTCTTTTCTTTTCTGGTTTTTTGCCTTTCGATTACTCTAAGTATTTCCGGCAACACACACGCACGCGGAACACTTTAGCCGGCTTTTTAGACTACTTGCGCCAAAAATCCAATCAGACGTAGCAGCGGGCCAACAGCCAGACTCAAGGGACCACAAAATATAACGCATACGCCGCTTGGGCCGACCAGAACGCACGAGTGGCAAACACGAACTGAAACTGTGGCCAGAAGTGCAGCCAAATCGGAGTCCGCTTTGTGTGCGTGCCAGCGGCGCATGCGTCACATTTAGTCAATGAAAAGCTTCGTGGCACACAACATTTGCCGCCAAGTCGAGTCCGAAAGATGCCTTCGTCCTGCCTTTGGCAGCTGATGGTTTTTCGGAGTCTCGTCTGTTGCTGTTGCTGCTGTTGCTGCTGTGTATGTTGCAAGGGGTATTATGATTTCAATCAGATGTTTGTGCAAAGGAGCGACAAGTGAGACTCTCGATCTCAGATCTCAGATTATATTTGCTTGCAGCTAGTAGCAAAGTTATATCAGATCTCGCTTTGTGCTTTTACCCTTACTATATCTACCGTAGAGTCATGGATTGGAATATCTTGCGGCTGAAACTATTTATTCCAAATATAATTGACGAAAAGTTCAAGGCAAAAGTTAATAAATATATCACCGATAGGAATAATTTATTTACAATTGCCTGCCTCCTATAGTTCCTGTGCTCCTGTGGTTTCGGTGCTCCTCTTCGCTGTTGTCGCTGTCAGCGCGTGTTGCTCACTTTGGGGGCAGACGACAGACGACAGCCGAGGCGCAGACACAGACACAATTACAGACACACGGACAAATTCAGGGCGCAATTCGCGCAACGTCATGTCAACGAGACAGTCGAGACAAATGCCACAGATCCAGCCTGCCCCACGCTGCCACCCACTTTCACTGCCGCATCCCTTCGCCCAACCATTGCCAATTGTCTCGGGGGCTTAACTTTCTTTCATTTCTGTGTTTCCCTTCTTCTTCTTTTTTTTTGTGTGTGTGTTTAATTTCTTTTGCCAACAAGCGGCGGGCTTTGGGACTGGCAAAGGACTGTTGTTCCTACGCCTTGTTATCCTTTCAATTGTCATTTGCTTGTTGCGTCGCCTCCACTCGATTGGTTCTCGTGTCCGGTTTGTGCCCCTCTCTGTGTGTCTGCTGCAAAGCCTCTTGTAATCGCAAGTTAATTTGATACACAGATGTCGATTCTGGCTAAGAAAATCTTCGAAATTAAATTGATTTCTCAGCGGCCAGCATTAAGCGTTTCGAACTTGCTCCTGCTGGGATATTTAATTTGATTTTAATTTAATTTTGCATCAGTTTGCCTGTGATAATTGGCATTGTACGAATTACCAGATTTACTGGCAGAACTAAAAGAGAAATCTCCAAGAAATTGTGTGGAACCACTCCCAATGAACAGTCTCCTGACCCTCCTGCAATGAGCTCAAGCCACGTAACCGGTCAGGTAAAGCCCTTGTAATCGCCTGTTAACTTGACATGACGATGCCTAACTGATTTATATGTCTCATGGCTAAGTCCCAGCCATGGATAGGACATGATGGATGGATCAATCGATGGCTAGATAAACAGATAGACGAATGGATGGACTGGAGAAAGCCGCTCAGCCAGCAGCAAAATTAAAGAGAAGGCCAAAAGGAAATGAGGGATTGGTATTGTATTTTTTTTGGTTTGGTTTTTCACGAATTAAATTGTCCAGTGGAGCATTTTAAATCTGATTGCTGGCCGGAATTGCAGCCTAACAATTTCGGTCTCTTTGCACGGCCTCAGACTGCACTCTGCAGCTGCATCTTTACTTAGCAAAATTACTTGCTTCTCCCCCCTATATAGCCAACAGAAAGGCGCCTCGTTTATGGCTGAGTGTAGGAGGCCAGGAGATGGAGCCAATGCTGTCAATACTGGAGTATAAATTGCGGTCTTTTATGTACAAAATTTTGGTTTATCAAGCAAACAAGATAAATTATGTAAAAATACACACACATACAGACAGGGACAGAGAGGAAGACTGAGGGATTGCCACTTGTTGAGATTTCACTGCGGGTCTGAGTCAACACAATACATATACATATTTACTCGTATATATATATATATATATGATATAGCACAATGGCATTATGCTTGATTATGCTCGTGTAATGCCTGGCAAAGACTCGTTATTTATTATGAAAATCTGCTGGCTCAGTATTTCATTTAAAAGTTTGACGCTCACGGCTCGACAAAACTGCTGCCGCTGCCGCTGCTGCTGCTGCTGCTTCTCGGCCTAAAAAAGATGGCAAATACAATTTGCAATTTCACAATTTTACAAGGGAACAAATCTTAAATACGACTCCAGCCACGCCGCAAAGTATGGCCTGGACCCAGGGCCGAATGCTGCTCCAATCTAAGCCATGGCCATGGCCATTTTAATCCCTTTTAAATTGATATTGTAATTGGTTTCTGTGTGTAGTTACGAGCATGAATTTCAATATGTCGACTCCGGGGCTAGGCTTTGCCCTTTTAGTTGTCTGCCTCTTGCCAGCCCCTCCACCCTCTCTGTTTTCTGTTTGTCTTTCACGGCTGTGTGCTTTGCTGCCATATGAATTATGTGCTTTTCGTTGGTCTCCATCTCCATCTGCTTTGTTGCCGTAGCTTATGTAAGGCAATTTGTATTTGCTTTTGTGGTGACTAGCAGCATATATTTAATGAATGTGCTAGGGGTATATCAGGCAGGCATTTTCAACCACATAACCACATGAATATAGTTTATTTTTTTTATATTACATGCAGCAGCAAAGCTCGAATTATTTTTTACCATTAACCTCCACTTGATCGGCTTGAACGAAGGAGTAACAAGTTGCATCTACAAAAAACAAAGATGTTAAAATACTTGATGGCATTCAAAAAGTTTAAAGCCCCCCGCACCTTAATTTGCAACGGCTTCCAATCCCCCACTGAAACTATCAAAAAACTTGGTGACACACAAGAACTTTAAGCAGCAGAAACACTCCCAGAAACAATATCATTAAATTGATGGGAAAAGTATCAACTGAAGTTCACGCCACGCCGCACGACATTAATAAATATTTGAGGAGCCACTAAAGATGTCGCTTAAGTAATTACGAGCTGGGTAACAATTTCAGTGCGACATCTTCACATCAGCAACGCGGCCAAAACTAACACAAAAGTGACTGACAAAAATCTTTTGATTGCACTTTGGGGACCCATTTAAAGGTGTGAATTTTACAGCCTACCCCGCAGCCCGCAGCCCGCTCCAACCAACTCTCTTGGCCAAACAAAAGTCGTAAGGGACTCTATGCCTCTAGTTCGTTTTTCTACGGGGTCGGTGGGGCTTTGGGCCACGCACCAGGTTGCCCATTACACGGCATTTGTCCTTATTTACCGTTCCCCTCCGCCACTTGGTTTATAAAGCACCTGCTTAACCCTTAATGCGGAACCCACAGCAGCCAAAAAAAAAAAAGAGAAGAGCAAGAAAAAGGCCAGGCAAGAGTGGAGAGTAGACAAGAGGCAACGGCTCCGGCAACGGCAACGGCAACAGGAAGCTGTGGCAATAAAAGCAAATCCGTATTCAAGGTGCACGAGGCGTCTGAAATCTTTTGGGAGCCAGAAGCAGGCCGGATCGGAGACCTGGGCCCAAAAGCTGCAGCGTCGACGGGTTCGAGACGCTGGGACAGCAGATTATGTATTTACAGTCAGATAACTCCCGTTATGGCAAAGTTTAGCCCGGGTTGTCCCCCCAGCCAACATCCCTAGCCCAGCTCCATGGACTGGCTCTCTATTGTTGTTGTAATAAGGCAACTGCCTAGATGATTGCCGGCAATTGTTGACCATGGCCCAAAGGCTCTTAGACCCATCCATATGTGTGCCTGTGTGTGTCTGCCTGTGTGTGTGTTGGACAAAACTTAATGCTGACTCAGGCCGAGCGCGGCGGCCATTTTGTTTATCTGCATAATAAACTCACCGCAAATTATTGGAGCCCGCATTTTGGACACGTTCCTGTCGTCGCCAGGTGAAATGCCCCCCAATGGGACATTGCCCGACCTCTGGCTTCTGACATTGCCATTGTTCGGCCGCCCAACAGCCCAAGAAGACACACGGTAGATGGGTGGATGGGTGGATGGGTGGCTGCGAAGAAGCCAACAAACTTCTCAAATTTCGTATTTAAGTGCTTTAGGTAATGTATTTCCTACAAATTTAGCAAACTATCAAATGGCAGAAGCAGCAGCTTGATGGAACTTCATTTGGAATGCTGTGAGGAATATTAATCACAACAGGAGCAGAAGTGCCGATTAGGCAGACTAAGTGGGATGCACAGCAGCGATTAAATAAGCCCGGCAGAGGAAAGAGAACACCCATCCATTGTGTGGCTGATGAGAAGAGTATCCAAAGGATCACTTTCCAACTGAAGTCTTCAATTTAACGAGGTCTAGGCTGCATTATGCAATCCACAGGCAGTTGGCAGCCATTTTATGTACATTTTCAATGGCCCCTCCTGCGGCTTAAAAAATTAAATACGCCTCTCCTTCTTACATAAGCCTGCACATGACATCTATGCCTGTCTGTCTGTCTGTCTGTCTGCCTGTCTTTCGTTCCGTGGAGCTGCCATGCTGCGGCTTTTTTTTTTTTTTTGGGAATCCCCGCTAGGCTGCAGTCAGAAATGTCACAGGGCGCGATGGTGCTGCTGCTGCTGCCTTCCCACTCTGTTCAGCAGATCGGCGAAAATATTATTTAATGCCCTCTGACAGTTGAGTGAAGCAATATCGTTTACATGAATTACCTATACTTACACATAGTATGTGTGTGTGTGGGGGCGCATGGCACTCACACAGATTGCCATAATGGAGATGGGTTGATGGCAAAACCTCTCGTTAGCTTTAAATATGAAAAACCGAGAGAAGGGGACAGATACTGCGAACGAAAGCCGGAAAATCGTTGTACATTTTGTGTGTGAACATTTTCGATTGTCAATGTGTTCAGTTTTCATTTTGGGTTCGCGTAGTTCTTTAATTAAATATAAAAAGAATACAGAGATCCGCTTTGGAGCTGTTTCTTTTAATGAACCACGAATATATATATACATATATATATATATATATATATATAAATTTATTTGTTCAATTTTTTTCCGTAATCTCTGCAGCAATTTGATAGTTTTGTTTATTGCATACATGATGCATTTTCGCATACTTTTTTTTTTTGTCTGAACTGAAAACTGAGCTCTCGGCTTACAGTCTGTGAAGCTATTAATTATTTTTGTTACTGTGTTTTTTATTACGTTTGTTATTTCATATTTGTCCTTAAATTGAAATCGCTTTATCAGACGCAAACATTTTTCTGGCACATTTTTAATGCCACCCAAAAAAGATCGCAACCCAAAAAAAACAAACAGAAAACCAATTAACATAAACCATTTAACAAAAGCACAATTATCTAATAGGTATAATTACCAACGGTACAGTCAAACAAAACGAATCAATAATACTCTTCTAATGGCAAATTCAAAAGAAATAAAAAAATCAAAAACTAAATAAATTGAAATTTAAACAAAAATGTCAAAAACTGCACGAAACTGGAAAAAAAAACTCCGAAAACACACACACAAACATATGCATATATGAATGCCGTATATTTAAACAATTTGATCAATTAAAAGCAATTTTGCAGCAGACAAAAAAAAAGCGATTGAAAAATATTTCATACAATATAAAAAACATTTTACTCACTCAAAATTCAATAAAAAAAACATATATATACATATAGCAAAAAAAAAAAAATGAATACAAAAAAACTGCAACCCCTGGACATATTTTTTTGCGGGCCGCACACTTTCTGGCACACAAATTGCCCACCAATGGCGCAGGATTGTGGAGGATGGTGGGGGTGGACATCAGAGTCCGTGCGGGCAGTCCGAGTGCTTGTGCCCGTGCCCGTGCCCGTGCTCGTACCGATTGAATGAAATTTAACGCTGGAAATCACATTGTTTACCAGCGAAACAATTGCGCGACGATGATGGCGAAAAAACACACTCACAGCGCCACATGGAAGGAAAACTTGCAGCGGGCATCGAAGCACCAGATACACTCAAATGAAAACTTAAATTGGGACTTTGAAATACCCAAATTATACGCTCCCCTAGATGGATTTCCTTCGAGGGATTCTCGCATGTTCTATTTCTATTTTTACCAAACTCCTGGCTGCACTATGCAACTCTCTGCCAGGGTATGCCGGGGATAAAGGCAAAAGCAACAGGAAGAATAACTGACATTTGTTGCTGCTGTTGTGTTCTTCGTGCTTCTTTCGCTTTCGCTGTTGCATGTTGATTTTCGTTCGCGTTGCCAATGCAGTTGTTGTTGGTTGCTCGTTGCTGGTTGCTGGTTGTTGTTGTTGCCTCACTGTGTATGCAAATTTGTTTCTTTCATTTTTTGTTTTGTTTTTGCTTTGGCACGCATTTGGCAGAAGGGGAACATTCGTTGTCGTTGATTGCAGACACGCATAAAGAGCTCAAAGCGGCAATGGAGTAAAATTGGCGAGGAAAACTGAGACGACTGTGCAATGCTCTGCAATGGAATCTCGTTTGGATCAGCGCTTCAACCGAATTTAAGCCCAAAACTAAATATGAGCACCCTGCAAGATTTGTTGTTGCTGTGCTGAAAAATCAAAATCACAAACCCATTTAGTTGGCCAACAGACAGAAGAGAGCATTAAGCGCCAGCCGTCAATGCAGTTGTCAGCTTCCGCTTTCGATTATGGCCCACACACACACACACACACACACACACACACACACACATCTGGCCAACAGCAACGGTTTTCGGACGGACACAACGTGGTCGTGGTCGGCCGCAAGAGCAACGGCTTTTAATGGTCCCATTGGGGACAATGCCGCAACTGCCTGGCAATCGATGGCCGTGCCGCTTGTGTGTTTGTGTGTGTCCCAGAAATTTATGATTTCCTTTCGATTGTTTTTCAACGCATTTATTGAGAGCTCAGAACGGACAGCAGGCGGTGACGATTTGGCTTACTTGATAGCACTGTCCATCGGCGGCGCAGATCACTTGGGTGGCACTTCCCGTGCCGCCCCTGCTGCGGGCCATGTGCCAGCTGCGGTACACATCCGTGGCACTCAGGCCGTAACTACCAGCCAGCCAGTGCTGCAAGTCGCCTGCAAAAGTCTCGTATACCGGCACATTCTGCAATCAAAAAGGGGTAGGGATTATTATGTGATATATCCGGGAAAGTAGTAGTCCGCCCCCGCGCTCTTTTCTGGCCATGACATTGTCAAGGAAACTGCTCGAACATCTCCCCTTGCTTTGCGCTTACTTTCCCACTTTTACTGTTAAAGCGCACGGAAATTAATTTCCGGTGCAACGCTGCGTATGAGCGATGCGAAACGATATATACGATGGCAATTACAAGCGCAAAATGGAATTAATAAGAGAACCAGAGCGCAAAGGGGGTAAGGGAAAGGGTTAGCACTGGCACGAGTAAAATGAACAAGCGGCGATAAAAATGTGCAAGTTTGTCAACTAATTAAAAAGGGAAGCTGCCAACAAGGCGACAGGTGCCGACAGCGAGGGGCTGGCACGGACATTGGCAGCTTAATTGAAAACTGCAGTAAACAACGGCAAAGCAGTTTAGCCATGCTATACATTTGATAACGAAAGAGGGTTCATTTACGAATATCTCCATTAGGTATGGCTTATATCTAGCTATATCTCAAAGTTCACTGTGGAGAAGCTCAAACGAGAACTATTTTCAGCAGTTCAAACCATAGAGAAGCAGCAGAAATGGCAAAGGTCTGCTAATGGCTGGCTAAACTACTAAAACTTCCCTCGCTGTATGGCCTCGGTTGACTGGCATGGGAAGCGATGCAGAGTGTTGCATTTCCGTTAACGTCAGAGCTAAGGCGGAAGGCAAACTAAAGTTTCCTTTGGCCAAAACAGAACCAAAATCAGTGGCAGTATGCCAACGGGCAAGTGCAAGTCCTAGAGCAGAGCGCCAGTCTATAAATTTACCTAGCCAAAGTGTATGTATGTGGCCCTGGAAAACGTGCTTATTAAATTTGAGCAGAAAATGTAATTTCACACTGCAGTGGGGAGAACAAACACAATCATTCGTGGGCCCCGATGACCGGGCGAGCCAGGTGACCAGGCCACCAGGCTACCAGGCCACCAGTAGAATGGCTAATTAAATTTACCAATTAGACAGACAAACACTTGTTCTTGAGAGGCAGCCACACAAAAGACCAGACTCAGACAGAGACACAGGCAGGCTGTGAGACTGAAAGATAGAGAGTCCTTCAGGCTGGCCAGACAACGTTAAGTGTTCCTTTTGATTTGGTTAATTTTGCAGGCTGCAGGCTGCTGGCTTCAGTAAACAGCTCAGGTAAAGTTGCCTTAACTACATAATTGAAAGAGCTGTGAGTTCTCTGTGATTCAGCTGCGGATAATGGACAATGGAAAACCCCTTTTGCATTCGTCGATCATCTCATCTATTATGATTTCCCAGCCTGCAATGTCTGCCTCTACTGCTTATATTTGTATTTTTGCCGAATAAACATCAAAGTTAATTAAAAATACATAAAAATGCACAACGTTGCTGCTCATATGGAGGGGGTGCCCTCGGGGCGTGGCAGCAGCATCATTAAGTGCCGTGTCGACTTAATTATGGAAACTGTCATCAAAAATGCTGAGAGTCGTTGAAAAATGTCGCTGTGAAAAATGTGCGATAATTATTGCCACAATTTATCTCAAGTCAACGCGACCGAACACAAAAAACCAAACGAGAAAAAGGAAGAACCGAGCAGCGGATACCCTTGCAGCTATATTTTGCATTTGATAGTACATATTTTGTATTTTATTTAGCTGAAATTTCATGAGTAATTTAAAACCACATATAACTGAAATTTGTAGCAAAGTTTCAGTTTTTAAAAAGCCTCCAAAACCTCTGATAAAAAATAAAATACCCGCTGAAGGAACGTTTTAAAGGCGAGTCTAAAATAACATAATTATTTATGAAACATTAGGCTGAAAGCAGGAGAACGTGATATGCGAAAGAGGAAGCAATAAAAAGTAGGAAAAGTGATAAATAGGCGACAGGGCAGCCAGAGGCGTACTCTCTCTCCCTCTCGCTCTCTCCCAAAGCTTCTTATGCGTAATCACGGAAGCTAACGGAAAGAAGGAAGATGGAGGATGGAGGATAAGAAGAGACGAAGAAGAAGACTATGGGAAAGCGGAAGTCCTTTGTTGCTGTTTGCTGTGTTTAAAGCACGTGCATAAATAAGCAGCAAATTATTGAACGTAAAAGTTGCCAAATCAGCCAAGGGGGGAGACCTGCAGGGCAACGAATAAAGACGCTCCTGGTGCCTGGTGCCTGCTGCCCTGCCTCAAGGCCCCATGCCAAACAAAACACTTTTCAATTAAGCAACTTGTCAGGCCGGATCGGCCACTGCCAGTGGCAAGGCGTGTCACGCCCACCCGGATACCCAAGAGGCAAAAGGTTTAACACGAGAAAAGCACACAGAGAAGCACAAGCACACACACACACACACACACAGATGCTAAAAGGGGAGACAGATGACAGAGTATATGGGGGATAATAAGTAGACCAAGGAATACCCTGTGATAAAATAATTCATTTGGAGCGAATTCGAGCAAAAGAAGAACTGTAGGAGAGGATTGTAGAGGAGGGTAAATCAAGGATTAAACAGAAGAAACTTCAGGAAGTTCATTCCACTATTCCACTATTGCTATAACATTAAAGTTCTGTTGTACTTCCTGTTACATCTAAGTGGAATTTCCCATGCAAAACAATATGCCCCAGGCAAACTGAAGCATTCAGCTGATTTGTCAAGGCATTTAAACCAATCAACCTTACTTTATAAATGTAATAAAAAAATATAATTTTCGACAGCGAAACCCGCTTCCACTTCCACTTCCAGTTCCTCTGCCAAGCCCTAAGCTTTAGACATAACTCAGCCTAAACGGAAACCGTCCGCCATGTCGCCCTTCCACCCACTCCAGAATCAATTAACTTTCACTATGCTAACCCGCTCGCTGTCACAAAGCCGGCGCTCAGCCCAGGCACAGTCCAAGACTACAGGGGCCTCCAGGGTGTGGCCCCAAAAACAAAAAAAAATGTGAAAAGGACGAACGAAATGCCTGGCATACTTTTCGGCGCAGGCATATTTACGTTGCATGTACGAGTACGAGTATTTGCTGCTAACGAGCCGAAGAATTATGACTCCATTAGGATAGCACAGTGAGGGGTAGGGGGGGCAGGCTTAGAGGGTCCTTCGCCTCCGTCATAGTTAGCCTTAAAGTTGTTGCTTTTTTTTTTTTGCCCGGCCAAGGAAGTGACGCCATTTTGTGCAGATTACGCTTTGATGAACTCCCTGGAATTGGGCTAGAGCCAGAAGAAATGGCAGAAGGTAAGGCAGCCGTACAGCAGGCGCAGACATCGGCGTAATGACAACGTCAACAAGACGCCAAGAGATTGAATTTACAGAACAAACAATTTTCATTTGCAGTTGAATTAAGCAAAGTAATCCCAAGTGGACATTTTTCTTCCAGCATTTTCTTAATGCCACAGCCCAGACAACAGCATCAGAGTGCGGTGAGTGCAGTGCAGTGGGTGGGCTGGCAGAGGGGCAGGCCTGAGCCGCGGTTGGAGATGGCACACGACTGGCAGCGGTTTTCCACTTTAAAAGCTAACGACAAGGAGAGCCCATGGAAACTCTCTTGGATTAGTCAAAACTATGAATTTAAAGCTTGCAACTTTGATAAGAATCTTTGGATTTAAGAATAAATACTTTAAAGAAATAATTTAACCTTATAAACTGTTGCTTGCGATAGGGACAGAGCCACAAAACATCAGATGGTTGCCATTTGCACCAATTACGAGTAGAAGTTACAAAGGTTTTTTGCGCTGGAGAAGTCTTACGTGGAACAAGTTAAAGTACAAGATACTGTATCGGTGCCAGAAGGTTTTCCCTTGTCAATATGAAATACATATTTGAATGCTTAACAAGCACCAAGAAAAGCGCTTTTAGAGCGTACTGGGAGCAGCCAACACAAAAGGCAGACGGTCAGACACGCACTCCCTCTGTAGCACTCCCTATATACCAGTCCAGTGCCCCCTCTCTACCGCCTATCTACCCCCTATCTGTGTCGTTTGTTTTGCATAAAATTTGCATTTTTTTGGAGCGAGAGACAATCTACAAAATTGAAAGCAGATGTCTCTAAGCAGGACAAGCCACAAGGAGCAGCAGCAGCAGCAGCAGCAACATTGCAAAATGCAATGCATAAAAAGGCAGAGACCACCGGAGGTGTAGCAGCAGCCATCGAATCTCAAGAACAATTCCCTCCTTTGGGGATACTATTTAAATTTTTCACCCAACAAAAAAAAGAAAAGGAAACCCCTAAACTTATTTGGAAAATAAAATGGAATGCCCACAGGGGACGCTGTCTGGCCATAGATAAGGCATCTATTTATGCTGTCGATAATTAGAAACTTTCTGTGCATCCCCCATAAGCCGAAATCACAAAGGAGAGTTTGCTGCTGCACCTAAATTGGTTTGGCATTGTGCAAAGTGTCATAGCTTGTGCCTGGATGGGGAGATTTGGGTGGAGAAACATAAGAAAACTCCGCCTAGAAAGCGAATCGTTTGATGCACAAAGAGGCCACAGATGCCTTTATTATGTATACCTCATATAAATGATTTAGTTGAAGCCACAAATTGAATTGTAATACTCTGTCATATGCATTATTCTGGCTGGAGGCCTACAGACTTGAATGATGAACCGAGGCTCGCGGCCTAATCGGCTATCATAGCCGTGTTCGATGGCTTGTTCAGGCACTGATAAATCTTCAGCGGCTGCCTGATTGTTTTCAATCCTGCGACAGAGACGTGGCGTGCCTCTTGGCTGTAAATGAAATCCTGGGGCACTGAAGCGTGACCACCGAGAGGTCACGTGCCCGGGAAAAAGAGACGCCTCCACGACTCAACTCCCACAGCCCCTCCTCTATGCCAGACAGGCTCTGACAGATATCCGGGGCAAAAAGTTAAAAAAAAAATAAAAATAAAAAGGCAGGCCAAGCCAGAATAAGAATCCAGAAGTTAAGCAGCAGCAGCAGCAACAACAACAGGGGGAGGAGGAGCGTGATTTATGTTGGCAGGAGATATCTGGCTTACCGATTTCGACACGGGCATGGGCATGGGCATGGGCAGGGGCATGGGAATGGGAATGGGAATGGAAGCTCTTTACCTGATACTCATTTGCCATTGCGGCCAGCCAGTGGGGATCCGTGACCGTGTTCCACTCCTGATACAGCTGCTCCTGGTGCTCCTGCTCCTGCTCCACTGCCACCTCGACTTCCTGTATCGTCTGAGGTTCCAGGCCCGCGGCTGAATTTATGGCCAGGGCTAATTGGTAGAGCAAAAAACTGACGCGTCCTGCAACAAGCAGAAGAAAGTGCGGTAGTAATATTGGCCATTTTCAAGTGTCTGGCCAAGAAAGAAATTTAATTTTAAAACACTCCAATCCCTGGTATCCCAGCCACTTCCACCTACAGTCTTAGTCGCAGTCTCAGTCTCAGTCCCAGTCTCAGTCGCAGTCTTAGTCCCAGTCTCAGTCCCAGTCTCAGTCCCAGTCTCAGTCCAAACCAATTCCCAAAGTACTCGACTATCTGAAGCCTGCTTCAGAGCTTGTTTTGTTCTCAGATTGTGCGCCGAGCATTTTGTTTGAGTTCAACAGCTACTTACTGTCAGTTAAGTGCAATTGCCACAGAAAACAAGCAGAGCAGCGGGAGGACAGGGTGGGCGGTAGCGAAAACCCAAGGAAAATGAGCAAAAGAAAAGAAGAAAGAAAGAAAAAAAAAAAACAGAAAGGAAATTTGATCCGCTGTGCAGGTGATTGGCAAATGCGCACATGAATCTTTGATAAGCGTCTCGAATTGCAGTCATTAGACATCTTTTGATGGACAGACAGACAGTCAGACAGCCAGACAGCCAGACAAAAAGGCTCACAAAAAGGAATCACAATGCCAGCTGGCAATCAATCGAACATTTAGACGAGCGAAGAACATTCTCTCGCTACAATCATCGGATGAAATCAAATTGCTTGGCAATCAGGAAAAAGGCAAGTACCGATGATTGACAAAATACCCCAAAGGGTCTGAGAAGGGTTCTGTTCTGTTCTGTTTATTTGCAGTCAGGGAAATGCCATTAGGCAAAGGCAATGACTTTCTAATTTCCGCAGTTGAATGGGGGAAGGGGAATGGCAAAAGAGTTTTATTGGATTGCCCAAGCAGGACTAGCTGCATTAAGGTAACAAAAAAATCTTCACAAATCTGCAATCAATCAACTGAATCCAGAACTTATCTGCCGCTTTTGCCAGCACATAAATTGATTGCAGAATTTATTTAGTCTTGGCATCTGCATTAGGCTTTTGCCCAGCGAACTTATTTAATTAACTTGTGTGCGATTTATGTTGCCGTCACTTGAAACTCATTTCCCAACTGCAGTTCAGATTTTGCTTTGCCAGGAACTTTTCCTTTTCCTCTTCCTTTTCGCTTTTCCAGCTTTGCCAGCTTTGAGCTGTCGCTGAGAGGCTGCTGCTGCTGCTGCTGCTGCTGCTGTTGCTTCCATCCACTCCTGCCCCCGCTTTGGCCGTCAGAGTCCGCGCCGCGCCGCGTTGACGTTAATCATACGCCATGTTTAACGCACCGCAAAAACTTTCCGCTGCATCTCTACGGCAATAAATCACACATTTTAAAGTTGAAAGTTTCCGGAATAAGCACACACAAAAAATCCAAAAACAACAACAACAACAACAACAACAGAGAAACACGAAACACGAAACAAAAACTGAGCGCAAAATTAATGCCACAGCTGACCCAAAATGTCAGACGGCCAAATGGAAAGCGGAAAATGAGAAAACGAAAGCGGAAAAGCCCCAAACAAAGAGTGAGAGGAACTTTTTTTTTAAAAACGAAAGTCGCCGATGATGCAGTGCCCTGCCGCTGCTCCTGCTGCCGCTGTTGCTGCCGCTGCTGCTGCTGCTGCTGCTGTTGTTGAGTTAGTGTCAGTCGGTTGTCATCGTCGTTGCTTTGAGGTTGTTTATGAGTATTATACCCTAGCAGGGGGTATTATAGCACAGACTAGAGCTTGGTAACTCAGCGGAGGAAGTACTACACCCCTAGATAGATGCCCCTGATAAAAAGAAAAAAAAGCAACAGAGTCATGGCAATCGAACTTTACCTTAGAAGCATTCAATCAGCCAGGGTATACCAAGATTCTGTGCCCAGGGTTTCCACCTAGTTCTATTTTTTGTGTGGTTTTTCCACTGCTTGTTTTGTCTCTGTCGCTTTATGTGGGCCAAGCTGAATTGCAGCTGTGTTGTGAGGGGTGTGGGGTGAGGGTGTTTGTCAAAGTGTTTGCCCAGCCTCATCACGTGACCACTAGAAATTTGCATTTTAATGGCTTTCGCCGGAATTTGGCACTACTTATTCTCGATTGTCCTCGTGGGGGTGGGGTGGGGAGGGGGTTGGAAGCGGCGACTGGTGTCAAGGGGGTGTGGAGACAGAAGACGGAAGACAGACAATGTGGCAACAATATGTGTTAAGTGTTGTCGTCGAGGCTTAATGATGCCAAGAATAAACTTGCCGCGAAGGGAAGCAGCAACATGCGCCGAGTGTATGTGTTGACACGGCAAGACGTGGCAGCAACAGCAATGGCTGTGCAACATAGGGCACGCATCGGTAAGCAAACAAACAAGAAGCAACAACCAACAGCCGCAGCAGCAGCAGCAGCAGCAGCAGCGACAACGCGTGACAAATGACACTAGTGACATCAAAATGGTGCCCCTTGCAGCGCTTGCTGCAACGGAAACGGTTGCAAGGCGGCACAAGATGCGGCGAAGGGTGGGCACTGCTGAACCAGCCAAGGGCTCGTGTCAGCGACAGCAAGCGGATGCAACAGCAACAGCGGAAAAGCAAGCAGAAAAAGAACTAGAAGCAGAAGAAGTAGGGATAATAGTGTCACACAAAGAGCGCGACCAGCAATAAAGGTACAGTCCTCGCTGACTAACAGGAACAGTGCAAAAGGGTAGATTGATAGGCTAAATTCCCAAATGGGAGAGAAAGGTTTTTGCTATTTATCTGCTCCCCAACACCCACGAATATTTCCCTCAAGCCGTGTGTCTACTGTCGGGCCAGCATTCACGCTCGGTTGAGTGCCTGCGCTGCTGCTGCTGCTGCACTTCACTGCCTGCCCGCCCCCCAGTGAACCCTGAACCCCACCCCGTCCCGCACTCAGCTAAGCTCTACCCTCTCCCCCTTCGTCCGCGAGCTTGAGCTGGCGCGAGTGACACTTGAGTTATTTTCGGGCTCTCCATGGAATAGAATGGAACAGAGAAAAAAAACGAGCGCTCAGATTGAGAACTGGCACAGCAAAATGTGGCTGGAGGAGACCGAAATACCAATTAAGAATTCGTCGTCGTCCGCCCCTCGCCACAGTGTGGCCTCTCCACCTGACCCGCCACTGGAGACCACAGTGCATATGCGTGATAATTGGAGCATCAAGGAGTGGCATGGAGTCTGAGAGTTGGCAGGAGGATGCTTACCTGATGCGGGCACTGCAGCCAGAACTTCCTGGCCTGGCATTGCCCCCTGCTGGGGCAGCCACCTTGGCACCTTGCCTCCCGTTGCACTTCCCCCCGGTAATGAAGCCAGCAATGAGGCAGCTAGAAAGAGCTGCAGCAGCCCCCAGCTATGCCCGTTGTCTGCCATTTCTATCCTAGAACGAACGAGAATTAGAAAATGTACTCTCGGCTCAGGCGCAGCGTTAAGTTATTAATAACAACGAAGAGGCATCTTGGCCACTGCCCGGGCATTGTGTGGATGAGCATAATGCGACGAGGGAGGAGGAGGCAGAAGCAACAAGAAGGCAGTTGGCCTTCGGCTGGCTTTCCTTCCCGTCAATTTATTTGATAGACAGGCCAAAGAGGGCGGACAGTAAGCGGCAAGCACCCAACGATCTTTAGATACTCTACTGGAGATTGTTTATAACTGGCTGGGTAACAAAAATATGTACAAACAAGCAAGGAATTGATTTTTTAAATGTGTATAAATATAAATTAAAGCCGTTTTAATGTTATTTGATTGACTTCAATATTGCTTTAGTTTTATATCTTCATGCGGAACAGCTTGAAACTTTTTTCCAAATTCAAGAGTCTAAAAACGTTTCGTTGTCGCCCACGAAATAGCCCAAATTGCCTGACGACACGCACTGCGGTAGAGTAAAGCCTTTTGCACGGCCCTATCACTATCTGCCCGCTTCAATTTACCCCTCCCCCGCACTCTGTGCTGACAACCAGCATAGATTGCCTGCCACTCTGCACGCTGCGCTGTTGTTGCAAGTGTCTCGTTGTTCCCGTTCCGTTCCGTTCCCGTTCCTGTTTTTGTGGAGCTTATTAACGCTCCAGTGGGCTCAACTCTTCACCGATGAATTCCATTTTTTTTTTTTCTTGCGCTCGTTCGACAGCCGCACAATGGACAAATCCCAGCCATCAGGACAGCAGCAGCGTGCAACGTCTTGGCCGCCATTGTGGCATGCCATCAATGGCGCAATTTGAATGGCGAAGATTTATGGGGCGGGCAACGGGCTAAGGGCTGCCAGTCGTGTGGCCAGACTTTAACTCTTCAAGACTTGGAGCAAATTAGCGGGGAATTCTGAACGCCCAGATAAAGAGCTTCAATTGACACCGTGCACATTTTGATATAACTCTTTAAAACTATCAGCAAATAAATTATCCTCCCCCCCACTGCACCCCTGCAATCAATTGAAGATAATTCTGTTGCGTTTTTCTCCTTCCTCTTCCTGTCATTAAAATTTGCTGTTTTTGCATTGCATCGTTGTGCTCCTTCTCCTTCCTTTTGGCAGCTTTTACTGTTGATTTAAGCTTGACGGACGCTCCATCTCGTTCACTCCCACGCACCCACTCTCCCACTCTCTCAAGCGCTCCCACTCTCTCAAGCGCTCCCACTCTCTCAAGCGCTCTCTTTGCTTAACAGCAGTTGTTTTTGTTGTTGCTGGACAGAGTATCATTAATATTTTTGCATTGAATTGCTCCTCTCCTCTCCTCCTCCTTCCTGCCGCGTGCCGTGCCGAGTCAAGTACTGGCCAAACGAGACAGCAGCTGCCTGCCAGCAGCCTGCGTGTGTGAATAAGCCAGCAGCAAGCCTCGTTTGGACAACACTTAACAGTCTCACGCCTCTCCCACTCTCTCACTGCTGCTCTTTCACTGTTGCTGTTTGCTCATAAAATTAAATTTCACAGCTGGTTATCTTTTTATTACACACGCACACACACAGGATCGGGAATGGTGTGGTACCTCCAATCGGTCGTTAGTTTTAATTGTTACTGCTCCCGAAAAATGCAAACGCTCGACTGAGCGCCACACACAAAATTTCCAATAAATGAGGAAAGGAGGAAACAAAAAAAAATGAACTAAAACTGAGGAAGAGGAGAATGAAGTAGACAAAAAGACGAAGAAAACACTGAACTTTGATTGAAATTTTCGAGAAATCAATGCCCGAATATTACCATTTAATGTCAAGTGGTGGTGAACTGGTGATTGCGCGGGGGCGGGGGCGGTGCTGGAACAATATCAAAAGATAACGGAGCAGGCCGAAACGATGATAATACGAGTATATTGACTACGCCACAGGCCATTGTAAAGGGAGGCACAGATGGGAGAGTGGGGAGGGGGAGGCAGAGATAAAGTAGTTGAAAATTAATATGCGTTAAATGGACAGAAAGCACTCGTCTAATTAAATGGTGGGGGGTGGGTATTGGGGCGGCGACTGCTGGTTGAATTCTGATTGAAATGGAAGCGAAAAGAGAACTTTTGATAATTGGTTGTTGCTAAATTGGAAATTAAACGATATTTTGGCTAAAATTTATTCATATAATGAGATTATTTAAAAGTAGAAAAAGGGGGTAATGGGTGCTAAATTGGTTCATTTTTATTATTTTTATGTTTAATTTAATTTTAAATTTAATTGGTGGCAAATGAAAATAGACGAAAATTCTTGGCATCGATACGTTTCTGACCCAATAATTTATATGCTACAGAAATTGCCTTGAAATGATTAATTTCCCATACAACGAAAATCAACTAAATAACTTACAACAAATATATGGTATGTATGTGCCCCCAAGCCCAAGCCCTGTCCCAATTCATTTCAATAATTGAGCGTTTTTGTCGACCGTCCTTTGCGTATCCTTGAATGGGGGGTGGCCGCATAGACCGACCGCTCTATTAGTTATGACATTCATTTGACAGTTTGATGAATGAATTATGTACACAAAACGCACAAATATACATGGCTATGAAAGCTATGGAACAAATGCCGATAGAAGGAGGAACGAACGAAAGTGTGTGTGTGGGGTGCGGGAACACACAGAAGTGGCCAAGAAAACATGCAAAAGTGGCCGAAGAAAGGAGCAAGGGAGTGGGAAACAGTTCGCAAAAGATTTCCATCTCTTGCTCACATTTTACCTTGCAATTTCCACTTCTTCTTCTCCGTACTTCTCCTCTTACTTCTTCGACTTGTGCTGCTGGTTCTCATTGCCTTATTTCCTTGTCGGCCTGCCCTTAAATTTCTGGGTGGCCCCGAGGCCGCCAATTTGCTTCCAATTCCTGACTCAAGTGTCGGGGAAAACGAAAAATTTTCGCCACTCACGGATAGAGGAAGGGTGGGGAGGGGCGAAGAGAGATTCGTATCGGGGAAAACAATTTTAAATGGCGCACACAAAATGCCGGAAACCAGACACAAAATGTTAGCGGAAAAGGAAACAGACGCTCCCACACGCACACAGAGGCAGGCAGGCAGGCGCAGGCAGCCTGGCCGGGGGGCAGGCGGACTATTTCAATGTATTTGTTGATGCAATTTAAATGCCACAAAAACAGAACGATATTTTCCAAGTTTTATTTTCACTTCTAATGGGACTACATATCAAATTTTATTTGCCTTGATGAGATTTCATACTAATTCAGACAATTTATAGGAATAATTGCGACAGAATTTTGAGAATTGGAAGCATTTTTGAGGCAGAAGTTTCCAAGTTTGTATTCGATTACTCGTTAAAATTGCAAAAATTATTACTCGTTGTAGGCATATATTTATGTTGATTTGATTAAATATTAACATATGTATGTACATATGTGTTTATGTGAATGCATAAATATGTACATACATACATACGTACATTTTTGGACACACACCTGGAACTTAAGTATATGATCGGTTGGAGTCCGGGAAAGCTAATCAAATTACCGTAACATACGTTTATTGATTGATTGATTGATTTTCAAAGTTTCTGTTGTTTCATTGTTCACGGCGAACAAAAGATTACGCCACGCCCACATTGGTAATTATAATTTAAAAAAAAAAACGGTTTTTTCTTTAAAATAATCCTGCTACATGGATACTACACAGACGAGAGCGACACCTGACGACGAAACAGGACAATCAAATTTGATCTCAGAGCCACCTGTCGCGTCATACGCGAACCAATCGCTCTCTTTAGTGCCATGGTACATATAATAAAGGTAAGGTACAACTCAACGAGCGCCTAATAAATTTATATAACCAAGAGCTATTAGGAGAGTTTTATGATTGTGGATTCCCACAATACACGGATGCATATGATTATGATCCACTTTGGAGGAACATAAGCTTCCGATATAAGCTATAATGCAATCATGTCCCTTGAAAAGAGGCCGCTTGCTAAGTTGTCCCCACCTAACGTAGTTTCACCCTGCGGTTGCAAGCAACATTCAAAATACTCATTTATGAGCGTTGTGCTCTCTTTTACTCGCTTCCTCCCAATCACCAAACCCAAGTACTTAACAAAAACTCAATAAACAAAACTCAGCTAAAATTTGCGAGAAACTCAGATGATTTCCGTGGAGAATATCGCACAAATGTATCGATATGGAGGTCATATATATCGTTGATTCATCAATATATATACATCATCCCTAGTCTTAATTCAGTGTTGGTTAAAGGCAGCAGAGGAAAATATGAGAAAAATATGAGGAAAAAACAAAACAAAAGTGCAATAAATAGTGAAAAATAAAACGCGCAATAGCGGGCAAGGTGTAAAGAAATATAGCCCACAATAGCAAAGGCCAGTAAGAGGCAAAAGCAGAACGAAAAAGGCAGCGAAAAAGATATGAAGATGAGCGAAGAAGAAGAGAAACGGCAGCAGCAGCAGCAGCAGTGAGCAATAATAAGTTTTGTTCTGTGCGCGAGAGAGTGCAACGAAAATATAACAAAATACACGAAAATAAGGCAAAAAATCAGGAAAAGTAAAGGGGAAGCAGCATAATAAAAGATTGCTGAAAGTGTGCCCTGGCCCCACTCTTCCCCCTTGCACACACACATCCCCACATCTTCTGCACCCAAAAAAAGTGTGTGCCTGTGTGTGTGTGTGTGTGAGTGCCTCTCTCTGTGTGCGTGTGTTTGTGTGTGAAAAACAAAAGACAAATCGGAGCAGAGGCAGACAGACCCCCTAAGAATAACTGTATATCAAGGAAATGCAATATAAAAGGGGAACGCGACGCCGTCGCTGACGCTGACGCCTGCTGCTGCGCCGTGCTGTAATCCCCCTGCCCACATCCCCCTCAAATTGTGCAAAGTGGCAAGGGTTCATAAGGCAACAAACGAAATACAAAAAAGAGGTCAAAGGCGCAACAAAAAAAAGTTTTTGGCGGCGTGCGGTAACCAAAAGAATATACAAAAAAAAAGTGCCAAAAGCAGCTGAGAGAGAGCGCAAAAACGAAAAGAAAAACACAAACGTCGCAGTTTTGCTTTAAAAAACAATAAACGTGAGCCCCGCGCGTGTGTTTGTGCAAGCGAGCAAACAACAAAAAGAAGGAATACGTAAAAAGACTCCAATTAGAAGCCGATTTTTGTATTTAATCACTTAACAACAACAACAAAAATAACCGAAAATCAAAGCTGGTTTTAGTCCAATCAAAATATAACGCTTAAGCAAAAACCAATAAGAAGTCTCAACGGAATCCAATAAGCAACACAAAAACGCGGCAAAGTAACAGAACGAGAAAAATAAGCAAAAAGAGTTAAACAAAAGCAACAACAATAAAAGCAGCAGCTGCGTGCCAAAAAAATAAAATTCTTTTAAATAAGATTTCAATCGGGAAAAGGCAGTAGGAACAACAACAGCAAAGCTCAGGTCCAATTGGAGTTGACGGGTCACAGAGAGGGAGAGAGAGAGAGAGAGCGCGGGACTCCAAATACCGACACAGAGAGAGTCGCTCTTGTGCAAGGGAATTTTTGTTGTCTTAGCCGCGCGCTTTGCATGTAAGTACCGTACAACTACCCTTACCACCCCCACACACAGCCCCCACCACACGTGTTCGTTTTGTTTTTGCCGCCTCTTTTTCGCTGTGTATTTTTCTGTGCTATATCGCCGTTGGACAAATAACGGTTTCTGTTGCGTTTGCGCCGCGCGATAAATTCAATTATTCAAAAATTCCACGGAGCGCAGCTGATAAGCAAATCAAGAGGAAGAGCGAAAGAGAAGGATATAAATAGAGTTCAGTGGAACACAGAGCGAGGGAGAAGGCACGATGTAGATCTTGCCGCACACAGGGGGAAAGAGAGGGGGATATAAATAGAGTTCAATGAAACACAGAGTAGAAGAGAGGAATAATAAGAGCGAGTGGCATAGAGAAGAAACACCGGAGAGTGCAATCGGCAAAGTATGAGGAGATCTTTGAAGAAAACAGAGTGACACAGAGGGATATATGTACATATGTAGAGCGGAGCAAGGACTAAATCAATATTATCGTCCCGCTGCTTATTAAATGTCACTATCGATTTCAATCTCAGTCCACCCGGCAACGTGCCGCTGCGTGCCGCCCATTGTCCGGGGGCCTGGTCCGTGCTTGGCCTTTTTATGGCCACAATTGATGTCCCCCGCCTTCCCCTTCGAGAGTGTGTGATCTGAATGGCCAATGCCTTTAGGCCGAAATTGGCTTTGTACTTCCGATATCTGCGGCGATTAGTCATCGAGATGGCGACTACAGATTGAGAGTGGACCTTATTTGATTGAGAAAAGCGAAAGCCTTTTTGGGCTATACCATAGAACAAAAGAGGAGTCTTCATCTTTTTGTCTACTGTTTCCATTTCCAGGCGGCTCTGCACGTGCTATCGTTGCACTCTCGATTAATCATCGATTTGACCACCACGAGTAGCAAACTCTATGGAAAATGAATCCGTAAATGAAGCTTGTATTATCGATGGCAAAAAATCCAAGCCCAAGCTCAGGTTAAATGCGTCATCATTTAGCTAGAATTAACAAGTTCGCTCAAATATTTCCAAACAACAACAACACCTTAGTCATTTCTTCGCCAAACGCGTGTTAAGTCCGTA